GCCGAAAATTGTGAACGAAGAAACGTTGCGGGAACCATACAAGATAGTTCAGACCGTCCTGACACCGAGCTTAGAGAAATCTGTGATGACCACTAGCGCGTTTCCTTCTCATTCCACAGTCAATTTTTCCGCTGTGGACTCCTCGTGTATTGTAGGTAATTCTCCAAATTTGGCGACGAATCAAGGTCGTCAGAGTCAATTGAGAACGACCAGCACGTTGAGCAATGCCAGTGTAATCGCGTCTCAAGCATCAGTAAACATTTCCGCGTCTACTAATAAGAGCGATATCACGGATTGTACATCGGTGCAAGTGGCGACGAGCCGCAATCCCGACATAGCATATTCTGGAGCTCAGGACTTCCTGCCTAGTTATTCAACGATGGTGGGCAATGGTCTTGGCACAATGCAACATACGTCTAACTCGTCTATGTTTAAAAATGCCATCGCAACGACGCAAGAATCGAATCCCACAGTCGGTCCACGCGTCGACAATGTCGATAGTTCTCAAAATCTGTTGAGCACACGTCTCGAAAACACGACTGTGACCACGAATTCTTCATCCGCAGCTTTACGGTCCTTGCAAACAGACTATTCGACTCAAACAAAAGATAAAGGCTCGCAGAGTTCATCACACGTAATTTATCCCTCGCACAAGGATGCACTAATCGATTCTACTGATATCGTTTCTGATCACCGTGTCGATTACGCTAATCAAATGGATCGAAGTCTTCCAGTGACGTCCCAGAGCATGCAGAACTATCCTTTGCCAACCAAGGATTCCTCCCTTCCGATTCTGTCTTCTCAAGATATGCAACATATGTACAGCCAGACCAAGGACAGTCATGTTCTCCTAGATTTAAATGGTTCTCAGCAGACGTTTACCGTTCAGAAAAAGCAAGAACATATTATCGCGAGCTCTCACAATGATTACGTCGGGAATCAAGCAAAAGTAATGCAAAAAGATTCCATATCATATACAAGTGGAGATAATGAGACCGCAAGCGCTCCTTCACAAAATCAAGAATATGTCACGAAGACTACGAATCAGAGTTCTTCGGGAAATACTTTCCAACGAGATTATTCCAAAGTAAACAAGAGCACGGACACATTGAACAGTTCAAATCAAGTGAATCAAGAAGCGAAACTGAACGATGTGCTCGGCTCTAAGACTCAAGAACAACAACACAATCATATGCGCGATTCGGTCTACGTTTCAGCAAAGAAGTTGGATGTAGATCCGTTCGTTCAGTCATACCAGTACGACGTTAAGGGAGCGATGAGTAATCCTAGCGAACGAACGAACGTTCTGAATACAAATACTGACGACACACACAGCAATTACGTTTCATATCCTAGTAAGGATGACAAGAAGACGAACATTGCTGTTTCAACTATCGCCATGGTCAACAACAACAAGCCGGCAGCAGTGCAGCAGGGTGCTGTTGCACGATATTCGCAACAGACCTCATCGTTCATCACTACATCTAATTACGAACAGAGTACGATGACAGAGAATCATACTAAATCCACAACCACTGTCGCCCATAATTCATCCAATTTTAGTATCCTCTCATGGACGACGTTCTCACCGGTCAGTGGTGGTGGCGGTATTAACAATTTGGTACACTATGATCAAGGGCAGTCACATTCGAATGATAATAATGAAGCAAAGACTATTTGCGAGAATTACAGCTATGTTCCACTGCACAAAGACAATTCGAGTTTCTCTAATCAAGTGTTGATCGGCGATAATTACCAGAATAGTTCAACCATGTCGACTGGGATCGATAAATCGCGACAAGGAAAGATCGAATCGCAGAAACAATCTTTTATCGATCCTTCGAAGACTAGAAATGATCCTTCGAAACAGAATCGGATGCAAAATCAGCAAACTGGCAACGATTACAAGTTTCCCGATAGTGGTAAAAGCAAGAATAAGTATAACATGGATTCAGACTATATGCAGAACGAATACAGCTCTGCTATGGATCAACAGCAGCACTCTCAGCAACACGGACAGAAGAATCATCAAAATCTCTCATCCAAGCAGGAAAAAACGATGTACACGTACGAACCACAGATTAATTTCGATTTAGCGGAGAGTAACGTACAGATGAAGTATCCGATCGAGGCTTACACTGGCGTGAACTTTAAATACGCGGAGAAAACGACGCAACAGCCAAGTCAGCACAAGTATCAGGTTCTCACTCAAGGACAGATGCACGACAGCGGTAGTTACAGCAGCGATGTGAAACACAGCCAGCAGCAACAGCAACCGCAACAATCACACAGTAGCAATAACAACGGTAACAATAATAAGTCCAAGAGTAATCAACATCAGCAACATGCAATCAAGGCGCCGGTTAATTGGATGATGACACCGGAGGTCAAGCACAACGCTAATATTACCGATATTATTCTACCGCCGATTGGCAAAGAACTGGAGTTCTGTCCAAACAATCTGTTTACGCAAACACCCACATACAATCAAGGCACTCCGAATCAGTTCTACAACAATTATGATGTTTCTGCTGCTCACAGCTTCCCAAATCTACCGGTTCTGCAAAGCGATCCGAAGAGGCCCGCGGAGACCTTTTACTCCGAGGAGCAACCGTTTCCGTGGTCTCCGACGAAAAACAGTGTGCACAATAGCGTCGAGCATGCGATCGGTCAGTCATCGGTCAAGTGTATCGATCAGCACATTGTACCATCGAGTTTGCAAAGTCTGGTAGGTGATCTTGATCTTAGCGCTAATCTGGAGAAGCAAAATTTCCTGTTTGGCGCTCCAACCTCGTCGTCAAGAATCTCTGCGGAACAGAACAAGGACGCGTCCATAAAGGAAAAAGAGGCAAATAACGTGTCGGGAAGGGATCTACACGCGATACTGAACACTCAGAATGCACAGCATCCAGCTTCCACTTTCCTATCTGTGAGTCAACTAGTAGAACATGAAAAAGCAGAGAAGAGTCATCAGCAGCATAATCATCAGCAACATCAGCATCATCATCACCATCATCCGCATCAGCATCAGCATTCGCAACAACAACATCAACAACAGCAACAACAACAGGCTAGGAAACATCAAAGGAAGAGCAACACAAGTCCCAGAACAACTAGCAAACGGCAAATGGACATTCGCAAGTCTACGACGGCTAACGACAACAATCTACATCAACGACACGAGGAACAAAAATCATCTGGTCACATATTCACGGAACAGGGATACCAGCAGCCACAGCAGCAACAATCACAGCAAAAATATCAACAGAATAACGTCCATTGGAGAAGCAGAAACTGCAAAAGCAACTATACAGCGGAGGCGTTGATTGGCACTAGCATTCATGATACTAGCGGCCATCAAGATAAACACGCATCAATCAAGTTCACAACCAATTATCCTCAGAACAAATTCCAAAGTGGTTTGTCCGCGGATGCTGCAGTGATGCCTATAAATTACTTTTCTAGCGCACCACCACCGGATGATGGCACTGCGACTGGTTACGGTCAATCGGTAGTCAATCAGAACTTCAACACGTACACGTACTCATCCAATTCCGCAAACTCTATCTATCCTACCAGCAATTTCATCACCAGTATCTCCAACACGCCCAACAGTTACATGACCATGCCGCTGCATGAGAATGCGACCGATTATGTACAGGAAGCTAACAACTTTTTGTTATCAAACGTAGCCGGAACGAGCAGCTCGTCGAGCGCTAGTACTGCTAATACGTCAAGCGCGAACACGACTTCCACTACGACTGGAAATGTCAACGGAAACGGGAAGAATCATCAACATTACGGGAAGCATCCCAACTGCGACAAACGTTCATACTCCACTACCGCGAAGAAAGGCAAGCGAAAAGCTCTCGAGAGCGGCCCTATGCAGAACCTGGAGTTTCCATTGTCCGGAATCAACTCTCCGCTGGAGGATTATCATCACTCGACAACGTTCCTGGCACCGCCTCCACCTCCGCCTCCACCACCACCGCCGCCATCACACGCCAATCCTCTCTACCAGAATCATCCACAAGCAAACGTCTATGCTAAGACTGTCAATAGTCTTCCACCGCCTCCGCCATCAGCTATGGCAAGTGCTCAGGGTGTCGCAACCGTAGGAGCGGCCAGTTTCTCTATGAACTCTAATATGGTCCGTGGAGGAATCGTTTCGAGCAACCCGATGGCTATGCCGCATCATCCATCGGGAACCAGTCTCACCAATTTCAATTTAAGCACGATATTTCCTGAAATAAATGACAAGGTATCTGATTATGTGTTCAATAAATATTGTACATCAAGTTTGTTCGTGAATTAATATACTTGCCTTTTCTTCAGGTCACTGGATACAAATCCTCGAACGGTATACCACCCGGCCTATCGCAGACGTCCAATCAGTCTGCAACTTATGCACAACGAAGTAATTATCCGTCGAACTCTTTGTGCCACTTGCCGCAGGTGTGTTTATAAACGTGTCTACGTAATAGATCCAAATCCAATTATGTGAATCTAGGAATAGCGTGTATATATATTGTTTGCAGGTTTCGGAAGGCACACAATTCATTAATAGCGTTCCATCGCGTCCCGTACCTCCTGCTCCTCCTCCTGCTACCCCATCTCTTTCACACGGAGTAATTCATTATAAAAATCTATGAAGACGTTTCATAGTTTGTGATACAATCGATTATCGCTTGTATATATGTACATACCATGTATCATTCATTAAATTAAAAAGACGTTGATATAAAAGATGTTTGATTTATGTTGGTGTGTTGATTAAATGTTGAATTATAAAATAATTCATTAAGTTATATAACAGCTTAGTAATGACTTTATTTCATTGTATTAAAAAGAATCGTACATTGAATTGAGTTATTAAATAAAATCCCTTTTGTCCACATCATTCATATTCTGGCACATAATTCACATCAGCGACTCTTTAATTGTTGAATTAACAAAGTTTACTAATCGAAATTAATAAAAGTCTTTAATTAGTTTCATAAATATAATTTCTATTAAAAACCTATTTAGGCATATCAAAGGTTTGGATATTTACAAATAGCAGAAGTAGTATTTTTATTACAGCATATACTTAATAATCATTATAAGTCCATAGATAGTATTATCAAGTCATCTTATATCTTTAGTAGGAGGTTTGAGTGGTATTTTGCCGATAATAAATCTTTCAGCCAAAAACATGTTCTTCTCATCATCTGTTAATGCACCATCCGCGCTATAAACGGTATCGTCGATGATATTGGTTGTAGTAGTGTTAAACGGTAATTTTCCAAAAGGAGAAGCATTGATGTTAGATTGATTTTGTGCCATGTTTCCGAACGGTGAAACGCCTTGTTGTGGCCGTGGAGTAAATGGATTTGCGAGTGTCGTTGTTGTAACAGTTGTATTAGCGGGTGAACCAAACGGAGAAGAAGTATTGATACCGCCGAATGTCGATGCGGAGAACGGTGATGGGTTTGGGACGGTTCCATTGGAGGTTGCGAAGGTAGTTCCCGCGTTCGCAAATATCGAATTAGAAGAGGTTTCTGTGGTGCCGAATGTGTTATTTGTACTCGCGACGGCCACACCAAATCCTGTGCCTGCAAACGGCGCTGAACTCGTGTTTGTAGAATCAAATTGCTGCGAACTAGTGGTGACGAACGGGCCGCTGATCGTAGCAGACGGCGCGCCGAACGGAGTATTGTTTGCAGACATGGTATCGGTGTTCTGTGCACCAAAAACATTTGCAGCGGATACAGTCGTTCCAAAGGTATTATTGCTAGGCTGTTGGCTCAGATCAAAGGCTGGCGCCGTAGTAGCGATGGATGCACCAAAACCTGGTATCGTAGCGGCAACAATAGGCGTACCAAAAGCTGGCGTGGTCATAGCGACGGCCGCACCAAAAGCTGGGGTCGCAGTGACTGTGGATCCGGCGAAGATGCTGCTTGTGGGAGCGCCAAACGTTTGACCACTGCTAAATATCGAACTGCCAGTAGAATTGTTGGCATAATTGGTTACTCCCGCAAAAACAGGTGCTCCGCCGAATGCATGCATCTGCGTTTTTGGCTGAGTGAACATCCCGCTATTGAAGGAGCCGGATGATGTAGTCGAGACGCCGAAGACCGGGTTTGTTTGTAATCCGGTGGACGAGCTGCCGAACAAATTGGAGGTGGTGGTTGTCGGTCCGCCAAACAGCGAAGTGTTTGCCTGTGAAGTCATCGGATTGTTGAACAATGAGGTGGTGGGTGCGTTGCCAAGCTGGCCCGTCCCTCCAAATACGTTGTTTGGGTCGAATAAATTTTGAGACGGTGCGAAAATCGAATTCGTTTGTGGCGTCCCAAATGTTGGTGCGCTGTTCTGTACGCTGCTGAATGTCGACGTGCTCGTTGTTCCAAAAAGCGAGCTAGCACCGCTTGTTGTAGTACCAAAACCGCCGAGATTATTTCCAAAGGTCGCCGTATTGTTAAATACAGATGCTGTATTATTATTGGACTTTCCGAATATCGACGATGTATTGTTCGAGGAGGTAAATCCACCTCCGCCAAATGGATTATTATTTTGCACATTGTACGTTGTATTTCCGAACACATTATTAGCTGATGTGTTATTAACTAGACCCAGCTGAGAAACTGTAAATAATAAATTAATAATTAATAAAAATCTTTTTTCTAATTTCCCCCCCCCCCC